CCCATGCCCCCTTAGTTGCTCCTTCCATGCTCCCAGGGCCAGCAGAAGGGGCTTTAAGGGTAAGTGGCTCCGGTTGCCAGTCTGCAAGATACAAGAGGAGCAACCTCAGCAGAGAGTGCCCTTGTTCTCTCAGGTATAGATGGGGCAGGGTTGAGGGCAGAGTGAGACCACCACCCTTACTTGGCATCAGCTAGATCAGTAGTTCTTGACTCTCTTTTAGCCTCAAGGCCCTTTCCAAAACTTTGTCAAAGGAAGAGGGAGAGCAGGGTAAGCTGTGGAGATCAGCAAGAGTGCAAGGCAGAGAAGGGGCCACATCAGTCCAAACTGCTTACCGTTTATCCCCCCCTGCCGCAGACCAGATCTAGTCTCTTTGGGGTCTACATCTGGCCTGTGAGCTGTAGTATGAGCACCACTGCTATAGACTGTTAGTCAATCTCTTTAAATACACCTTCAGTGTATTGTTCCATGTATTGGAGAGTGCTAGTAGCACTGCTATGTTTATTATGCTTTTTGCACACAATGGAAAACAGTCTCATACAGCAACTCTTTCCAGTATTAACCATTTGTGAAATTTTCCAAGTTGGGTGACTGCCTCAGGCTGAACTTCTCTCAGAATAGTTCAGCAGTTTGAATTTGAGGTAGAAATAGCTGTCACTGAACAAAAGCAACATCCCCCACAGCAGATCTGCTTTACTAGATGCCTGATGCAGAACAAGGGGCCTGATGCCCACTGCCTGATGCAGAACAAGGGGCAATAAGTTTCCCTTGCCTGGAGATTCCCTGGGTTCCTTGTTGCCTACATCAGGACCCACGCTGACCAATGCCTTATGTGGAGAGACGGGTCTACATGGGTACTGGTGCACAGAGGCACCAGGCTGACAAATCCCCTGTGCCTTCATGCAGGGACCGGCGCTGACCCAAGCCTTCAAGTGAAGCACTGGCCAGCAGAGGTCTTAGCAAGGGTGGCTATCATAGAAGACAGTCCAGTTGTCCTCTCTCCTCCATTGATACGAAGCCCAATGCCTTTATGTTCTCTATTTTTCTCTTCAAGGAGTCCACCCACTGTTGCCTATCATAGTCCAGGATGTGGGTGGGCATGGGGGCTGCTTAGGATGAATGGGTCCCCTGCATGAATGCTGTGCCACCAGCGGCTGGCGGGGCATGGCAGCACTGGTGGTGGTGGGAGGGGTAAGTGGGGAACTCCTGCAGATATTGCCAGCACTGTCGGCAGTGGGGGGAAGAGTCGGTGACCACCCACAAACACCGCCAGCAGCAACAGTGGCGATCGCTGACTGCCCGCTGACATTGCCAATGGTCCCCTCCCCCCGAAGCACATGGACAACCCTGCCTGCAGGGTCCCAGGCCCCCCCAGGGGTACAGCTCCTTCCCAGCCTCCCTCCCTGCTGGTCTCTAGCCCCCTGCTGATTTCCCCTGCTCTTCTCCAGCCTCCAGAGGCTGGAGAGAATAAGAGAATGAGCAGGAGGCTTGTTCCCCCTGTCCCCCTCAGCCCAGTAACAGAGAATGAACAGGAGGCTGGAGAGATCAGGGGAAGTCTCCAGGTTATCTCCAGGGACTTCTCTCCTGCTCTCTCCAGCCCCCCCCTCCCCCTTTCTCTTCTCCAGCCTTGGGAGGTTGGAGACAGCAGGGGAACAAGCATGAGGCTGGAGACAGCCACTGGAGACATTCCCCTGCTGTCTCCAGCCTCAGGAGGCTGGAGATGAGCCCCTGGAAATGAGCTGGAGACCATTCCCCTGCTCTCTCCAGTCTCCTGCTCCTTCTCTGCTACTCCCAGTGAGTGTGGGGGGGCTGGGAGAGCAAGTGGGGAGCTAACGGAATGAGTCGGGGGTGTGGTAATGAATAGAGTTGGGAAAGGTTCCCTCCCCCCTCCTCCAGCCCCCCAACCCCCTACTTACCTGGCAGAAGCCGGGTCCAGGTCCCTGCAGCTTGCACCACTGCCTGCCCCAGACAGACAGGCAGCATGCTTCAGGACCGGGGAAAAGGCCAATCACAGAGAAGCTACGGCAGGCTGCTAGAGCGTCTCTGTGGAGGACCAAGCCTCCGTTTGCCTTGGGGCACAGTCTGAGACCATACCCTGACCTGTTTTTTTTCCCCCAGGGTATTGTTTGATCCCTTGATATCCAGGGGTCTAATTTTGCTCCCCTGCTGCAAATTTGTAGCTTGGGGAATGTTCTTTTTCTTACCACACGTGCCTCCTGCAGCATCTTGAAGAGGTCTGAGATGCTGCAAAAGGCACATGCAGGCTCGTCTGGACATGCCTGTTGAGGTTTGTTACCATTGGAGAGGGGAAGGAAGCTCCTCTTGACTAGCTAGGTAAAATCTTACTGAAGACAAGGTATTCTGTAGTTTTAATGCAACTTAATAGGTTGAGATAGAGACCATAGCGGAGCCTTAGGTTTCCTTTCACCCACCAACTTGTGCTGAAACTGCACATTCCTTTCTCTCAAGTAGGATTTTACCATGTCAGCAACCTCAAGTTACAAGCATGCCTTTTTCAGAGTGAAGATGCACCAGAAGGAGGAGCTACTCAAGTAGCTTGGTTAAAGGCATGGTGAGTATTTTTGGAACCTCTGCATGATCTACTACTTGCAGTGCATCTTTTTGAGTTTTGGCAACTAAGAAACATCTGTTTCTATGCAATTTAAATTTGACTGTGGCTGCTGTAAACAACTGTAATACCATAGTACTCACTGTTTTCTTTAAATGAATTCCATGTAAAGTGGCAAACACTTTACCTTTTGTGACCAGGAATTGTCTTCTTTTGCCCCAAGTTCACCATTTCATAGTTCCAGACAGAAGTAACTCAACGGTTATGTTAAAGAGGCAGTTTAAAAAGAGGATTGATAATCTTTGGCCTCTTCTACAGTCTGAAATAACTCAATAGCTACTCTGCACTAATTTCCCTGTAGACACTTATCTTGCACTAAGTACTCTTTACATCCACTTCGGAAGCTGATTTAACCTAAACTGTGTAAAGGCACTTACTGTCCAATAAAGTGTCCACATAGGGAGCCAGTGCAAGATATCTCTTCCCTTTAAGCCCATATCCTGGGTTATTCAGCAGTTGTCTCCTTGTGTAAACAAGCCCTTCCCCATTTTGGTCCTGGGGAGTTAATTACCATAACAGCATTCATGCTTAACAGAGCTCAGTACACTAGATGGTGGGTTATAGTTTTAACAAAACTACAGCTGTTGTGGAAGAGAGATTTTTCAGATAGGTAGGGTTTCAGGTTCTGAAAGGAAAGCACAGACCATACCTCAAATACAGCAGCCTATTATGTAATTAGTCTCAGTAGCTTTAGGAAACTGCATTCATTTCTGCCCTGAGATCAATGCATGTAAAAATTGTGACTGTGACAACAATTAGTCATACTTACCTATAATTACAAAAATTAACATCACTCTGTCTCCTATCTCCTTGTGTTCTTATAGTAGTCTGGTATTTAGTTCTATGTAGAAGAAATCAGTTGCAGCCCAGGCTTGTTTTAGAGGTGCTGGTATTATTTAACTGCTGCAGCAGAAGCTCGTAACATGACTACATGCAACCCCTGCTAAGTACTCTTAATTGGTTCCTGAGAAACCGAGAAAACAAGCGTTAAGCAAAACCAAAAGTATTTCACGTCCCAAGATGGTGACTGCGAGTATTGTAACAAACTCGCTGAGTGCTTAAGTGAAATCAGGTATCAATTTAAAATGAGCGTTATAGCACTAAGCAAAACAGCATTAAGTGGGGGTTGCCTGTACTTGGTACCAGCAGAGCACAATTCTCAAAAATACAGACAGCAAACCAGGACCACAAAAAAGCACCTTATGCATCTAAAATTTAGCCAGTGTTTCTCTAAATAATTGCCCTTTCCATGCACATAGTGACCGTGCATCCAAACAAGCCAGAATACCCAACATACTGCCACAAGGAGCCACACAGGGAAGTCATTCTCAAACATTTTTTAAATTAATTTGACTTTCAACCTTAGCTTGACCAGGACACACACATTAGGCATAACTTCCAAATCAAAAAAAAAAATTTAACAAAGCCTCCTAAAGAGCAAATGAAATTTGGGTCAATATTAAAAACTTGTATCTTTTCAGTTTTAAATCTACGAAGAGCTCACTGTTCAGTAAGTTTAATGATGTGGAGAAAGGAAGAGGCTCACACTAAGAGCACTTTCTACAAGAGCATTTTTTTTTTTTTTTGTACAAATTGAGCTTCAGTTCAGGGAGGAACAGAACAACTAAGCAACTCTCTGAGCTGTCACTATAAAATTACACCTGCATGGCCATTATACTCCTGATAGCCAAATCATTTAGGTAACCCCTTGAAATGCAGTGAAGTAGTTACAGATGTGATACGCCCATGTACGTCAGATGGCTTGCATTTCATTGCCTTTGAGAGAATCTTTCTGTTTTATTCATTCATCCTAATTACTTAAGCCTGTATTATTGCATGTGAATACTCAACCATGCTATAGGTCACTCATTGTCATCCTTGTAGTAGCGCTGTTTCATAGCTCTGTACTTTCTCAGATAGTACAGGGCCTCTAACTCTTTTATAACAAATTCTCCTTGAGCAATTAGTTGTTTAATTTGTTCAGGATCTTTCACTTCCTTATTTTTTAGGAAAGCTGCCTTCAAACGGCTTCTAAAGTAGTCTGCTCCTTTGGGATATTCCCTTCCCAGGTGCAGCAGCTTAAAAAAAACAAAACAAAAATACAAGCATTTTAGATTGAGTACATGGCAAAAGTGTTTTATTTTGACAAGGAAAGTGCTAGTGGTATTGAGGACACTTACATTTTTGTAAAGATTCAGTACTTCCCCTCTTAAAGGACTGGCCATTTTCATGTTTCACTGAACATAGATAGCCACTTTATTCCTGTGTGATTATTTACCTGAAGAATAATCAGTTCAATATTAACCTCCATGAACTTCAATAAGTGACTGTGGTTAAACAATTAATGGCTAATTGCTTTTTAGAGTTCTGACTGCATTTTCCTCTGCCCTGTTCTGATTAGCTGTTTGTTCCTGGCCCCTTTTCCCATGGCCTGCCCCACTACTCTTCTCCCCTGCTTTTTTATTTCCATTCAGCTTATCCCCTTCTAAATAGGAACTCTCCCCTGAGGCTTCCCCAAACTGGTACATCTCTCACCATCGCATTGCTCATATCTATTCATGCCATTTACATTGCGAGCACATGTGAGCAGGGACCACATTCTGCTCTATGCTTGTACATTGTTTAGCAAAATGGGACACAGTTTCTAGTTGGTCTTTTGGCTCTACTCAACTAGCCTATTAATAACTTAGATACTGCCCCAAGTACCTGATGAAGTGAACTCTTGCTCATAAAAGCTTATCTAGTTCTGATTTAGTTGATGTATAAGGTGAATCTCTACCTTGCCTTCTGCCTGATTGCAGACTAACATGACTAACTGCCTCTCTATCATAAGTATGTTATATTGAACTAGTTTCCATTCACATTCGTTATTTTAAATAGACAACTTCTGAAATAGCAGACATACATTTACAATTTAATAAAGATAAATAATTTATTTTCAGATAGTAGTGGTGCTTACATTTATTAGGCTACAAAAAAAAAAAAATACATAAATCAACGTGTGAACGTGCTAGCTCATAATGTTATTGTGTCCCTACATAGATATCTTTTAGCTGCAAGTAGGCAGGTTGTATATATTCCAATTCACTTGGATCATTGCTGTTCTTTCAAGTACCCTGGCTCTGTCATAATTCTGAAACCCTCTATAGGAAGTGAAGTTTTCTTTTATATACAGAAGCATGGTAATGTTTTTGTGTAAATCATACTGCTGAGATGCAAAAGTGAAAAGAGCTGAATTAAACAGCCTCTTCAGACAGTCTTACATGTTTTACTTTGCTTTGGTATCCAGTCACAGATGACAAATCAGCTGTAACTAGAAAGGAGCTGAGCATATGGTTGGCAAACTTCATGTTTTGAGTTTAATTCTTGTACCAAATCTATGCGTATTATGAAAAGGTTTGTATAAAGAGCATAGGGACTGCAAGAGAAGACAGATGCCAGAGCATATTCTATTTCTACCATTTTATTTAGCAATTACTGAGCTGTAGAGCAGGCTAAAGAGCCTTATATATGCAAGAAATAAATTACTAAAACTTAATTAGCCCTAACCCCCTCATTACCGCACTTTGTCTTCATTTACTGCCACAGAAAGTTATTCCTTCATATATTTAGTTAAATTGAAACTATTTCTTCATTATAGCCTTTATTCCTTCATTATAGACTTATTTTTGACCATTATAAGCATGAAGTGGAGGGTGGAAAATGTAAATTTTCTACAACTTCTAGTACACTATGCTTTCAGGTACTACTTTTGGGAGGGAGGGGGGGTGGACAGGAGAGAGGGGAGAGCGAGGAGTTTGGGAAAATGCCCTGATGTAGTTCCTAGCATAGCAACACAAAAAGAGAGAGCTTTAAAAAGAAAAAAGTTGTTCTTGGAATGAATCCTATGAACCCTTCCTATGGCTATGAATAAGAATTATCTGGGGGAAACAAAAATCATAAGCTGTGCAAGCACGGTATTACGGACTAAGTTATAGATCAAAAGTCAAGTCTGATTTCAGAATTTTCAAACTCTTCCCCCCACCCCAGTTAGCTGTTTGGGAAAAACTGTGCTGTGGAATTCAAGAGCCACCGTCCTCATTCAGATCCTGAAATATCCTGCCAGTATGTATATTTTAAAAATCTATTGATACATTAACATATTTTAATATGTGTGATATATATAATTGCCAAAATACATTTTTAAAGTATCCACTTGGCTACTAAGCCAGTTCTCATATAAAATCATCATCATCATTATAAGCAACAGAGTGAGTGACCACCAGGGATCCTGGTTTTCTCTGATTTAAAAAATCCCTAATTTTTGGTTTAAAAAGGTAACCCCAAATCCATGTTTTTCTGTGACTTAAATGAAAATAAATATATCGATCTAGTGGTGTTTCATTTTAATCATGGAAAAATGGATTTGGGCTTGCCTTTTTTAACTGAAAATTGGGGATTTTTTTAAATCTGAGAAAACCAGGATCTCTGGTGACCTTCAAGTTACACAAGCCCTTTTTAAAATTCAGTGCCAAGACCTGCCACCATGGATGAACTGGAGCCACTTGATTAGTCATGCGGGAGCATCTGGGCTCTGGGCAGGGAAGGGATGAGGTGACAGACCCAGGATTGGGGGAATGACGGTCTTTTACTGCACCAACTGTGCAGGAGGCATAAACTGCAGAAGGCAGGATAGATTTGCACCATAGCGAGTAACCAAAGCAGAGAGAGAGAATGTTATCTTCTCAATTATTTATATCTGTACAGACATACACAATTGTGTTTCTACATATTTACATGTGTGCCTACAAATATATGTACACACATTTGTGTATTAAATAAATATAATGCATGTATATACAAATATATTAAATGTAAATATTTGTATACAATTTTGTGTATACATGCATAAACAGATAACGTTCTATGTGTATCTGCCTAGCGCTCTCTCTGTACTTAGGCACGTGCATACACGTGAGTCCGTGGACCTATGTCCCGGTATGTACGTGCAGGTGCGCGCACAGACGGGACACACACACGCCCCGCCTGGCGGGGCCCTCCCGCTGGCTGGGGCCGGGCTCGCGTGGGCACACAAGGCGGAGGGGCTGCCCCTGCGTCACATGGCCGTGCCGAAGCGCCCATTACCTGGCTCGCTGAGCGCCCTTCGTGCCCCACCGTGCGGACTGGCCGTTGGCGTGGTGGAGGGTCCCGACGCCCCCCCCCCCCCCGCCTCACGCCGGATACCTCGCCTGCCCCGGCCGAGGCCGCCCAGCCTCAGCGGCGCCCACTTTGCGGCATCTGCTTTCTTTTCGTCTTTACTTTACGGCACGAGCGCGCCAACCCCTCGGAAATCGACGGGGCGGGAGGGACTAGGCGGGCGGGGCCGGTTGCCGGGGTAACGGAGGGGGCGGTGTAAACACGGGGCGCCGGTTGCTGCAGGCGGCGGCGAGATGGTGAGAGCGGGTGGCGGGGGGGAGGTCACGTGGGCTGGAACCCTCCCCCCAGCGCCGGGGGTGGGAAGGACAGTAGCTGTCGTCCCTGCTCTCGTTTTCCTGCCTTCTTGGGGCAGTTCAGCATGATCCCCCGCGTTCACCTTAGCCCCACAGCTTGTCAGATTTACTTCACCTCAGTTAACATTTTCTTCTTTCTCAAACAAGCCTGTCATCATTCCCCAGCTGCCTCTTACCTGTTTTCCTGGAAAAAAAAAAAAAGGTGGGGGGTTGGGAATGGTGTTAGGAAAGTAGCCAAGCTGCTGCCCTGAAGTCTGACCTGACACAATCCTGCCTGCCCTCCTTGCCTGAAGCCCCTGCAAAGGGACACATGGGTGTCGTGAGACATGGGCAGGCCCACATGGCTGCTTATCCCATGCGTGCCCCAGCCACCGCCAACCCTGCTCTTGTGCATGCCTTTAGATTCAGTCTTCCCTCTTGCAGGGTTTTCCCCTGGTGGCTGGTGCTGGAAAAGGGGGCCCCAACAAGAGCAGAAGCGTACAGAGCAGGGCTCAGCAGTGGCCCTGGTCATTGGCTATGCATAGGGGGTGCACGTACACCCCCTGAGATTTGCAGTGCACCCCCTAAGAGAAGTGCCACTGGCAGTGCTTGCAGGCAGTTGCTGCTTGTCGCGCCCTCCCCTCGCTGCCGACACCACCGGTGGCATCTGCAGGCAGTCACCAATCGCCACTGGCTGG